ATCGAGTTGTGTAGTCCATATGTTTTTGCAGTGTAAGAGTTGCAGATTACAGGATAGTTTTTTCCTGAAACCAAATTGTTTATTAGAGAGTAGGTTGTTTGTTTCTAAGTGGAGGATGATGAATTGGTTGATAATTGATTCCATGACTTTACAGGTGACGCAGCATAAAGAGATTGGTCTGTAATTTTCAACTAGGCTGGGGTCTCCCTTTTTGAAGTTGGGGATGACCATGGCTTGTGACCATAGTTTTGGCAAGGATCTGGTCCTGAAAGATTTTTCAGAGATTATGCTTAGAGGTTCTGCTATGGCAGTGGATAGCTTTTTTAAGAAGTAGGCACATATTCCGTCCGGTCCAATAGATAGAGATTGTTTTAGATTGCGTAGTGCTTTTTCAACGTTGTCTTCTGTAAAATCGATATGCATTAGATCATTGTAGTTGTCTGTGGTTCAATTAGGAAATACTGGGCATGATCCATTGCTGTTTACAAATACTGAGCCAAAGAATGTGTTAAAGAGGTTGGCTTTAATAGTGTCATTGTTACAGTCTTTACCATTAGGTCCTTTCAGGGGTGAGATGGACCTTGAGTCTTTTAGTTTGTTGTTTACAAAATTGTAGAAAGCGTGGGTGGAATTGGTGCTTAGAAGGTTTTTTTCTTGTTTAATGTGATAATTGGTGCATTCAGTTTTTATCTGGTGGCATAAATTTTTGTATTGGCTTTTGAAGTTGGCAACGTGACCAGATTTGTTTTTCTGCCAAAGTGATTTCTTTTTGGATTGAAGCTTCCTTATTGTTATGGGTAATTTGTTTTTTCTAGTTTTGGGAGTTGTTAATGGTACACATAGTTTGATGACTCTTTTGACTTCAAGTAAAAATATGTTGTAATGGTCTTCTACAGTAAATTGTTCTTTGAGAATGGCTGTTTCCTGTTTTCACTTCTATTTGACTGCAACTCGCAGAGATATAGTTTGATACAAATAAAAATCTTCAGCTGGTAATGCATAAATGTTATTTTGCGTTAACTTAATCATTTTAACACTAGACAAAAATCACTGCTGTAACTCTATATAGAGCAAGGGTCTTCAAACTTGGCAAGTTTAAGACTTGTGGACTTCAACTCCCAGAATTCCTGAGCTAACATGACTGGAGGAGAAATTCTGGGAGTTGAAGTCCACAAGTCTTAAAGCTGTCAAGTTTGAAGACTCCTGATATAGAGCCTGATTATCCATCCCAATTTCCTGATGCCATCATATACAGTACTGTTTCATAACATACTGGGGTGTATTTATTCATGGTATTGGTTTGGCATCTGTTTTTGATCTTTGTTACCCTAGAAACCAACATGCTTATCTGCCCATGTCTAATTTGTGAGCTCAGATAATTATCCTGTTATTTTCAAACAGAAGTCCAGACAGAGGAATCTTTGGCTTAGCCTGTAACAGAGTAAAAGATGCAGTGTTTTTAGTGGTGTTGAATATAAAATTAAGAATTAAGTGGTTTTGAATATAAAATTATTTCTGTACTTCAGAAATATAATTCTGAAAGCAGCATAAGCAACCTTCCCCACGTTGTTCTTTTGAGCTGTAGGAATATGAATATTGGCAGCAAAAGGAAATCCCTCTTTCAACCAGCAGGTGCCTCTCCTCTCCTTAAGTGTCAAAATTATTTATACAGAATAAGATTGAAACATTCAATATACAGAATAAGATTGAAACATTAGCAGCTTTTAACTCAGCTCTTTGTAAATTATATAGAAAAGTATCCTGTAGTTTATCGTATATAACTTGAGAACCTAATGCATGTTTCATTAAAGAAAAAATTAAAACCCCAATACTCATATGTGAACCATTAATTTGTGTTATTTTTAAAAAATAAGATTAAAAAATTATTTATTGCCAGAAAAAAGAAACATTCAAATACACAAAGCGAATGAAACCTTTTCATCCAAAAATGGGGAAAAAAAACCCTTCCAAAGTGTTGGCTGAGATGTTAAAAAGTCATCTTAATGGACCTAAGATCTAAACTGAATAAGAATCATTTCCTATTGGAAATAAAATGAAAATAAAAGGCGGCCGAATTTCCTCAAATCCATCTTCTCACTGTTTTGAGTTCAGTTTCTCTGACAGAATCAAATTCACATTTTCTATAACCATGCTGGATGTAAAGTTAACTGTCACTGATGGGTCAGGCTGCACATAACATTTTACAGAGCCCATTTCCTTTTAGAAAGAAGATGAGTATCTTGCAAACTTTAAATTTAGGAGCAAATTATTAAATTATTCCTCCCCCTCCCTGTGCGCGTGTGTGTGTGTGGTGCGCACAAGAAAGAGAGAGAGAGAGAGAGAGAGAGAGAGAGAGAGAGATTATCAGATCAAATCAATTTATGGCAGGATAAAATTCTCTTCACTGAAAGCTATAGACTATGACAGCATTCAAAACAGTAATGTATTTTCATACAGTATACGTTCCCCGGGATGGGAGCAACAGCACATTCATTAACTACCAGTATTCCCTTAGGTAGAGATTCCCAATAATTGTCAAATTGTCAACTGTCAAGTAAACTCACTAAGAATAATTTAGTATTATTGTGTATTTATTACACTTACACTGCTGACATCTAAGGTCTGTTGGCAGTATACAGTGCTAAAATGACTATTCTTGATCCAATATGTGCACCTCTTGATGTTTTCACAGAGGCAATAGCATTGGAACTATTGTCCTAACTACCTGTTCCATTGTGTTTATGACCCCACTAGAAATATATTCTCTGTTGCATTGTAGTATTTCAAGCTTCATCAATTTCCAATTCATTTGCTTTCTGTCTCTGCTTTGGAACTGGGGTATTGATTGACATTGGTTAAAGTAAATGAGAAGAACAGTCTGTTCCTAAGAAAAGAATATCTTTAAGGAATTGCCTTCCCTTATATGACATTTAGCTGACAGCCCAGTGCACTTTGGAATGAATAATAGAAGGTTATTAACAAGAGAGCAAGTAAAGCATTCAAAGTTTCAATCTTAAACTTGTTTGTAATCACTAAATGCTCCACAAGGAAGCAAAGGTCATATGGGAAAAAAATCCCAATGAATTACACAGCTTGAGAATGATATGGTGCATTGAAATATTTTGTAACAATGGTAATAGCAACTCCAGAAAATAATGATTAATAGTATCTCCAGAAAATGGAAATACTGACATGTTGACGCCTAAATGTAAAATTGGGCAAGCAGTAACTTCTACAATATGCAAACCAAAATTTCATCTGATGAAAGGCATACTGATAGGGAGCACTATAGCCCCTAAAATATATTGGATCAAGGCCATTTCATCCGCATTATTCCTATCCTGCTGACCCCTGAAATTTTACAGGTAGTCCTTGACTTACAACAGTTCATTTAATAACCGTTCAAAGTTATAAAGGCACAGAAAAAAGGGACTTATGACCATTTTTCACACTTACGACTTTTTTAGCATCCCCATGATCATGTGATCAACATTCAGATGCTTGGCAACTGAATCATACTTATGACCTTTGCTGTTGTCCCAAGGTCATATGATCACCTTTTGCAAACTTTTGACAAGTAAAATTAATGGGGAAGCCAGATTAATTTAATAATTATGTTACTAACTAATCAACTGTGGTGATTCATTTAACTGTGGCAAGAAAGGTCATGAAATGGGGCAAAACTCACTTAACAAATATCTCACTTAACATCAGAAATCTTGGGCTCAATTGTGGTTGTAAATTGAGGACCACCTGTATAGCATCTGTCACAAATGGAACACCTGATATTCCCATTTATCTCACCCATGTTTGCTAATGCAGGGTTGGGATGAAGATTTCAAGACGGTCATAATAAGGGACACAGATTAAACTGTAAATGTATATATGTGTGCATGCATGTGTAAATGAATGAATGAGACTTCAAGAATTAGACTGATGTTTATGCTGCATTAGAAGACATCATCAAGTAGAGGAATTGTATGTCATAATCAGCATCTAAAATCTTTTGTACATATTTTATATCTTATAAAGTGCTTTAATGTATTGCTGTAGATCTGAAATAGACATCATTTCTTTAAAAGTGCTTTCAAGTTAATATTTTCACTATGCACTATGCAATTATCACAAAAAGTCTAAATAATTAACATTTTTAAATGTTAATATATTTTGTCTCACTGTATCTAATGTCTCTGATCCACCTTCCAGAAAATATATTAGTCATTTCTCAGGTTCCTTTGTTGAAACACATTTGTTGTCATCCTTGAATTTTCTGCTGAAACATATTCCTTATTCATATATTTAGGGCTAGAATTTTTCTTTGTCTACTGTATTCTCATATTTTTCTTGCTGCTGCATCAAACTTAAGGACAGATTTCCAATTTTTCTTTCTTTTTCAAATGTCTCTTAAATAAGCTGGGAAAAAATATGGAGAACTGATTATTCACCCACTTTAAAAAAAATTCTTTTTATTAATAACTGTTACTTGAAGAGCTACTCTAAGGAAAATATTTTTCTTTTTAACATTTCCATAATTTTTTGCTATATTTCTTACTTACATTATTTAACTATTGTTGGTTGCCATGCACTAAATAAATAAATAACATCATTGATTTAATACATATAGGCGTATCACAGCGTATCATCATGTCACCCGTGAAAAGTAATTATCCTAAAATGTGCCTATTGAAGTGGTAACATGCTATTTTTCTCACCATGCTTTTTTAATGCTGGAATTGAGAACAACTTTATGTAACTGTGGATGTTAATAGGATCTGGCTTTGGCTTTTTGTAACGTTGGGAAGGTTTTGTGTAACTTTCTCACAGGCAATTGTTCAATAGCAAACACAAATTAGGCACGAATTCAAAAAGAAAAAAGAACAGCATTAATTTAAAAAGCAACTTTACAGCAATTCTATCTGTTCAGAAATAAATCTCAATCCTAAACAGGTTTTTCCCCCCAGATGAATACACTTAGAATCATAATCTTACAAATCCTTTATTTTTGTGAGACTGGATCCCATTGGCCACGCTTCCTGTTGCTGACTGAAGATGGAATCCAGCCCAGTCTGGGAGATTATGTGTGCCCCACTGGCTGTTCTAATGCAAATAAACATCAGGTACAAACTCATAAGTAATACTAAGTTACTTTTGCTTTACAATAAAGCTCTGAAAGAAGGCAAATGTACGTGTTCCAGAATAATGTTGCAGGATGCAAACTGGGTCAGTCAGTGGGACCAGAGGTTCAGTTTTCTGAGCTTTTGGACTAAACCTCTGGTCCCAGTGGTTGCTCCAGATTGGATCCTGTGTTAATCCTTCAGTTAAGCAAATGGGCATAGAACCCTACTTCCCTGGCAAATCCTTCTCCAAATCCGATCTTCTTACAATATCTTTGAAAAGCTGCTTTCTTTTACAAAGCATCGTCTCGTTCTTCTGCTTCTTCAAGAGATTGGCTGGCAGAAGGATTCCCATCAAAGACCTGTGCACTTCTCACTCTAATATTTACGTCGCTGTCCCCTCTGCCACTATCGGTATCAACATGGTCGTCATCGTTCTCAGCAGAAGTGTCACTCTCACTCCCAAACATGTTCGGCTCTAGGTCACTGTCCTCTTCAATGATCACATCATCATTCTCAGCTTCTGTAACATCTTCTTTAAACCACACTGCCTTGTAGCCGTCATCTTCCGTTTTCCTGTCCTTTGTGAGGATGGATCTCACTTCCTTTTCACTGTTTATATCAATTTCTTCCTGGATTGCTTTATGAGTTGACTGTGTTTTCTTGTTTTCTGGTTCCTTCTCTGCATAACTCTTGGACATAAGGCTTGCAGGTGATTCATCATCGTTTCCATCTGAGTTAGAGTTCTTGTCATCCTGGAAGTTGTCATTAGAAAAGCTTTTTGTAAGCTGCAAAAGAGAGACAAATGTCTGTGCAATACTGCAAAAGTAAAGGGAAACTGATTATCACATAAGACAACTAATCACCTTAGAAATTACTTTATTTGATCTGTTCCCTTCATAGTTATATAACTGGGTTATTTCTGAGGTAAGGGAATTGCCGGTGTCCCGTTCCCTTTCAAGATTTATTGGGATCATACTATCTGCAATTTCCAGCTAATTTCTTCATTGGCAATGCCGTTTTGCGTTCCTGATTCTAGGGGGCGGTGCTCACCTCTGTTACAAAGCCAAAGACCCAGCGCTGTCCGAAGATGTCTCCCTGGTTATGTGGCTGGCGTGACTAAACACTGAAGGCGCATGGAACGCTGTTACCTTCCCACCAAAGCGGTCCCTATTTTTCCAATTGCATTTTTACACACTTTTGAACTGCTAGGTTGGCAGAAGCTGGGACAGGTAACAGGAGCTCACTCCATTACGCGGCGCTAGGGATTTGAACCGCCGAACTGCCGACCTTTCTGATTGACAAGTTCAGCTTCTTAGCCACTGAGCCACCACGTCCCTTTCTTGCCATAATTACAACTTTGCAAATTGATACAACCTAAACGTTCTTGTAAACTCCACAGGATTTGTTCTTTTTTATTATTATTATTAAAAAAAAAAAAACTTCCTGAAATAGAGGAAGAAGCCCAACTTACCTGTGAATTCTCTTTTTCAAGTTCTTTTTTAAATTTGTAATACTTGCAGGAGATCAGTGCAAGCAAGGCTAGTGCAATCGCCAATAAGGTCCCCAGGGTGGCTCCCAGAGCAGCCATGTCTTCTACACTGTAGAGTCCTGTCAAGAAAACAAACACACTTCCTTATATCCTGAAGCATTTTCTCCCACAGTTATTTCACAACAGCTAAAATGGAATCCTTTGACTTTGAAGAAGCAGGGTGGAAAGTATGGACACTTTTAAGTGTCGTTGTGGCAGAGGCCTCTTGAGAAAGCCACGGAGAACCAAGAAAACAAACTAATGGATCATCAAACAAAGCAACCCAGAGTTCTCACCCAGGCAGAAGTGACCAGCTCAAATTAACCTACTTCAGACACATTATGTGAAGGCTGAGTCCTCTGGGGAAAATAATAATACCAGGAAAGGTAGATGGAAAGAGAAGAGAATGATCAACAATGAGGTAAATGGACCCAGTTACACTGGTGGTAGTTGCACCATTGGAAGATTAGATCAGGGACAGAACGTCATAGAGAAAATCTATGTGGTCGACACCAGTGGTGGGATTCATAATTTTTTACTATCAATTCTGTGGCCGTGGGTTGATGGGTGTGGCAGGGGAAGGGTACTGTAAAATCCTCTTTCCCTCCCCACTCCGAGAGGAAGGTTACTGCAAAATCCATTCCCTCCCCACCCCACTAACCTGCTTTCCAGCTCCGTTCTCCTGTGCAGGGCAACCAAAGAAGACCCAGCCAATCAGCAGGGACTCAGGAGGCAGAGAATAGATAGGGGTGGGGCCAGTCAGAGGTGGTATTTGCAGGTTCTCTGAACTACTCAAAATTTCCGCTACTGGTTCTCCAGGACTGGTCAGAACTGGCTGAATACCACCTCTGGTCAACACCAATTTGATGGCACATACAGGTAGTCCTCAACTTACAACAGTTCATTTAAACATCATGCAAAATTACAACAGCACTGAAAAAAGTGACTTACAACTGTTTTTCACAGTTACAACCATTGCAGTATCCCCATAATCAAGTGATCAAAATTCAGATGCTTGGCAACTGACTCATATTTATGACAGTTGCAGGCTCCAGGGGTCATGTGATCACCTTTTGTGACCTTCCTATAATCAAAGTCAATGGGGAAGCCAGATTCACTTAATAACCATGTTACTAACTTAACAACTCCAGCGATTCACCTAACAACTGTGGCACAAAAGGTCATAAAATGAGACAAAATTCACTGAACAAATGTTTCACTTAGTAACAAAAATTTGAGGCTCAATTGTGGTTGTAATTCGAGGACTACCTGTAATCAGTCAAGGATGAATCTCAATGGAGCCATGATTTGGTTTGATAGAATTTCCTCTGCCCCTTAAATTTCAGCATGACAAATTAAAAGAATAAACTGAGTGACATTTTTCCTGGCAGAGAGATAAAACTATATGGAAAAAATACGTATGCTTAATTTCTCCATGTTAAAGACATTGCAGAAAATAGACAAATAAAGATTTAATTTTGGCTTCTGTGGTCATTTTGTCCGTATAATAAACCTAAAAGCCTTTGCATCAAGGTAGCTTTCCACAACCATTATAATTCCCCATTAGCACACTGTCAAGCGATTTTGGAAGCTAAAATATTAATACATCTTAAGAAAGCTGTTTTGGGAGGCTGAATTAAGACGCTGAATGCTGGGCATGTCGGCAGCAAATGGCTGTGCTTCAAGTCTTCATCTTGCTGGGAGCAAAGGTCAGTGCTGTTTTCTAGAGAGATTTGTACTTTCCCATATCACAGTTCACATCTCCACACTATAATTATAAAGCAATTTTCCTGAAAGTTTTATGGCCTTAATAACAATACGACTATAATGCCTTGCAAAGTGAATTCTGAAATAAGTGCAAGTTTCAATTACTCCTGAGAGTTTATCATTAACATGAGCTGAAATAATTAGTTCGTAGATTCATACTCATTCCAGAAATAACATCAGTACCATCGTATCATAAAACGATTCTCTGCTGTAGAAGTATTAGTGGTAAATAACAGCTCTGCTATTTTCTCAGTTGGATTAAAAATGTGATATATTGTACTAATTATTACATTGGCTTGCTTTCCCAAGTCGTCCTTGACTTACAACCACAACTGAGCCCAAAGTTTCTGTTGCTAAGCGAGACAGTTGTTAAATGAGTTTTACCCCATGACACGGTTGTTAAGTGAATCTTTCTTCCCCATGAACTTTGCTTGTCAGAAGGTCGCAAAAAGGGATCACATGACCCCAGGACATTGCAACTGTCTTAAATATGAGTCTATTGCCAAGCGCCTGAATTTTGATCATGTGACCATGGAGATGCTGCAATGGTCATAAGTTTGAAAAACAGTCATAAGTCACTTCTTTCAGTGTCATTGTAACTTCCAACGATCACTACATGAACTGTTTTATGTCAAGGGCTATCTGTACAGTAGCTGAAATCTCTTAGTAAATCACTTAATGAACATCATCATAAGAATATAGAAAGAGCTGGGTGGATTGCATTTTTTCCCCATAGACTAATGTGGTTTGTGGCCTGCTTTGGCTGTCACCAATCTCCTCTCTTGCCATCTGCCTTGGTGCCATTTCTTAGCCCCACCAGGCCACTGGGTAGGTTGATAGCCCCTCGTCTCCTTTTCTCTTTGCAATCCTTGTTATCCTAAATGATATAGTTGAAGATTATATATAATCCCCATGACTCTGGTTCTGTTAGCATGCCGCTTGAAATCCTCCTCTGGAAACGAAGTATTATTCAGAAAACCATAGTTCTCAGGATTAAACGCCTCTTAAAATCCTGGGTCAGCCACAAAAACTTTCTCTTAACAACTTTCTCCTCTCTTCCTCCTGCTCAGTCTTACCCAGTTGCCGGCTTCTTTGAGGCGGCCATTACAGACCGCCACTCGACCGTCTTGGGAGAGGGGGGTTTTGCCGGCTGGGAAGGGGGTCTGCAACACCCCCAAACCCCTCACCAGCTCCCCCTATCTTCGGCTGCCTCTTCGTGGCAGCCTTAGCCTCCAGATCCGTGGATCAGAGGCACCAAAGCGGCTAGCGCGGCAGGGATCGCGCAGGATCGCAAATCCCTGCCGCTAGCGAAGCCGACAAACCGGAAGTTCAATAACATTTCTACACGTTTTCAAGCACTTCTTCTGAATAATTTTCAAAGCATGCACACCTGTAATAATGGTGAGCCATATATTCCACTGAATTCAGTGAACTTTCTCGATTCAGAACCTCTATGTGTAAAATTGCTATACGGGATTACCAAGATCTAGTCTGCTTTGGAAATCTGTCAACTGGTAATGCTGGAATTACCTTGGCCAACCATCCAATCTGTGAAGCTTTGTGATTCATCATTGATTAGGAGAATGATCTGATAGTAAACTGTGGCTTGCCAAGTCTGAACATTTTTCAGTTTCTTAGAAAGACAGGGAGCTTTTAAATCTCTCTACAGCCAAGCCTTTCTTAGGAATTTACATTAAACATATATTTTATCTAAAATAAAGCATGGTCTTACAGAAGGATGTATGGCAAAAAAACCATGATCTTAAGAGTAATACTTTCTAAGCTGAAATCATCTTTCCTGAGAAAGCATGAACTCTCACCACTAAAGAATCCTCTCCCTCCCTCCTTCCTTCCCCACTCCCCGTATCCATCCACTCATCCATCCATCTTCTATCTATTGACAACTATTATTATATATTATGATGGGACCAAGCCTGAACCCTCCTCAGGTTTACACACTCTTTCTCTCTTCTTGCAGAGCAGCTGCAGCTTATAAAAAAGAGTTAGGAAACTTTTGCTTTTAACAAATGGTGAACCCTCTTCACCAAACAACTCAATGAAGTTGGATTCATTCAACATTTTAAAAGGTAGCGTTTTCCCCTGTCCAATTGTGGTCATCTCCATTTCTTACCTGGGGGAAACAGCATTGTCCAAAGACATTTTCATGGTCATGTGGCCAGCATAGCTATACGCTGAAGCGCATCACATGGAATGCTGTTATCTTCCCACCGAAGTGGTACCTATTTATCTACTTGCGTTTGCATGTTTTCAAACTGTTAGGTTGGCATTCAACATCATATCACAGTAACCCCAATTTATACAAGCATACTATTATATGCATTCAACATCATACCACAGTAACCCCAATTTATACAAGCATACTATTGTATGCAGATTGCAATGATTCAGATTAATACTAGATGACCACAGGCAGTTTTCTAACATCTCATGGTTGCCATCTAATGATTGTAGGGATATTTTTAGCCTAAATATAATATGCCTAGATTAGGACATACAGTACTTCTATTTTCTTCTTATGAACTGAGGAAAAGGTGAAAGGTATTCTTATTACTATATGCATGATTTACCATGACTCCTGAATGCAAACTTCTATGTTATTGACTCTACCTTCTGAATTAGGTGTGGAAGGTCCTACTGTGGTAGGAGATTCATTTGCTGATGGACTTATTGCATCTTCAATAATAGGCATTGTAGAAAACATAGAAGTTGAAGTTGAAGTACTAGAAGTTGATCTACTAGACTTAGATGTGAGGCTTGTTGCAGAAGTATTTGCTACAGAAAGTGTGCTTGTTGCAATTGTGGAAGATAATGAAGCAGAAGAAACATAGTTATTTTTTGTCGTAGAAATAACTGTTGTGGAAGGCTGAATGATTCCAGGTAAAGGAGTAGTAGACTGTCTATCACCATCTGGTACTGAGCTTGTAATGGGAGTCTTCGTGGTTTCAATTTTGGAAGAAGTTGATGACTGGGCACTCCCACCACTTGTTATAAAATTACCTGGTGGGGTTGGCTTGGAGGCTCCAGTCTGAGGAGTTGCTTGAGCGGTGGTGGGGCTGGAGATCGTGATGGATTCCACTGTCCGTTGGCTTCTCTCTGTTACAGGAGAACTAGTGGTCAGAAACTGTGTAGAATTACCTGGGATGACAGGAGGTTTTAGTGTAGTTACAAAAGGTGGAATAACTGAGCCAGATACAGAAGCAGTCACAGGGTTTCTTGTAATCTCTGTAAGGTTATCCTTCCCAGTTGTACTTGAAAAAGGTGACATGGTCTTTGTGGATCCAGAAGGTTTAGGACTACTTATTCCAGGTGGCAAAGTGGATGTCTTGGGACTAGTGTTCCCTTCCCCTAGGCTGGTAGGAGAGGTTTCAGTGAAGGCAGTGGTAGTTACAGGTGGAACAGTTGGAGCTGTAAATGTAATAGACAAAGGGACTGCTTAATGTGATGCTTCTATATCTAACACAGTCAAATCCTTCAGGCTTTCAAGGCACCAAGACCCAAGCACAGCAATCATTATGCAGAAATAATAACATTGAAAGAGTTTTACAATGAAAGAAGCTACACAGGCACTACACAAACTGAATTGTGTCAGCAGAATCTTTATCCCAGGTTGTACAACATCACTCCAGGGCAAAAGAGGGAGCGGATTTAGTGTAAGGGCTGGATTGCTCTGTTACAAACCACCAATGAATTGGGTAAAATTAGAAGCCAGTCTCTCTCTTATTCCCCCATCACATTTCTATATTAGATTATCTTTGATAAATAATTATGCCTGCTTCTGGTCTTTGTGTTCAAAGTGGGGGGAAAAAATGAAACTTTGATTTTGGGTTTTACCAATTAAATAGATTTGTTGTTATTAGAACTGGCTAGTTTATACTATTATGCAAAAGTGAAAAGTCAAAGTTTGATGTTATTATTCTACTGCACCAAAGGGAGTCAGAAGCCAATGCCTTTTCTTTCTCCCCCTCCCCTTTTTTTCTTACACTTTTCCCTTCCCTTTTTCCTCTTCTTCTTTCCTACTGTTTTCTTTTGTATTTTTGTATCTTATTATTAATAAATAAATAAACAAACAACAACAACAAAAGAAGTAATCATGCCTGACCTGTTCCTATAAAAAAGATAATTTCTCTTAACCCTGGGGAATGCACAGGGATGTGGAGGGGATAATGCTTCAATGTATCCAAGCATTGATATAGAATAAAATAGAGCTGGAAGGGACCTTGGAGGTCTTCTAGTCCAGCCCCCTGCTCAAGCAGGAGAACCTATACTACTTCAGATAAGTGACTCTTCTTAAAAACCTCCAGTGATAGAGTGCCCATGATTTCTGGAGGCAAGCTGTTCCGCTGGTTAATTGTCCTCACTGTTAGGAAGTTTCTCCTTAATTCCAGGCTGCTTCTGTCTTTGATTAGTTTCCAATTATTGTTTCAATGAAGCATAGTAGATCACATCCATGGCAAAAATTATATTAGGAACGGGGGGAAATATCGCTTTGAAATGGGAACAGCTTAGACGCAACTTCCAGCTGCCTCAAGTGTAGTCAGGTAGTCAGAGAGAAGATATCTTGAAGACATAGCACATAAACCATAGGGCATAGTTGTGCTGAAGTTAGAGGGATGGATCTTTTCTTTAATGTGCTTCAGCAATTTCTGTGATTCCTACATCTCTACATTTTATCTGCATCATATAAGACCCGAAGAGAGCATTTCCAACATACTCGCCAAAGGTGTGACATCTATTGAGATATGCGTGCTTGCTTCTTCCAGGGTACTGATGTCAGTAGCAATGGCCTGTGCAAACAAGAAAGAAGGTGTTAGCCTTGCACGCCCATGTGTCAATTCTATCAGCCCGTTAAAATGGCAACATATTAATTTGGATCCAGTTACATCTGGCAGAGATGGCGTGAGTACTACTGCCCCTTCCCCGCCATTTATATGTAGATCTGGGCATTACAAAGGAGTCTTGCTGAAAGCATGTTTATGAATATGGAGGCCACTGCTTTTCTCGTTTATCTTTATTTTTGCACAATCTATGCAGTGATGAGATTCTACTGCATGTAGTGGGAATGCCATAATGTTTATTTCATGATTCAATCTTCAGAGAAGACAGATATTTAAAATCAGAGGTGTTTCAACAAAAGGTTGAAAAAATAATAGTTCTGTGGGTTTTTTTTACAATGACATATTTTTACAATACTTTTTAAACTCAGTAATGGCACTATTTATTAAAGCAATGCAAAGCTTTAATTTGGAGCCTCTGTCTGAACACAAACCAATGCTGCTCCTTTCAAATTAGTTCAGAAAACTTGAGTTGATATGACTAAAGTGTCAGGTCAAATAAAATGGATTTCTGAATTGTCAAATTGAATTAGAGGGGATTCAAATTTCCTTCCTATTTACTATAAAGCCAAGTCAATTAAAATGAAACTTGATTGTATTCTGCAGAATGAAATGAGAAACGGAAATCTTCACTGTGGTTTTTGTCAGTGTAGTTTAATTGTTCTTAGAAATTCATCTGATAAAAGTCTTTTTGTTTGCTCTGTTTTGTTTTAATTAACTATTTAACAGCATTTAAATCCTTACCGAACTCTTTAGAATTGTACCATGTGTGTCTTTTAATCAAAAATATAGAGATTTCAGCCTTTTCAAAAACTTTTTAACAGCTATTGATTAACATTGAAGTAAAAAACTCAATGATAGAATAATGTCAGACAATGTTTTCTGCAGAGTCTTTGTTATTTCAAACATTTGCACATATCTGCATATAATAGAATCATATTATTTACCCATTATGTGGTCAAAGTTTAATTTCACTCAGAAAATCTACATTAAACAATGTTAGATCATTAGATTGTTGAAAAATAAATAAAACTACCTGGTATATAAATTGCACTATACTTTAAAGTGGTATATTTGGTTTTGGTTTTTAGTGCATTGTGTTAACGGCTGTCAAATTATTTTCCTCTGTCAAGTTATAGTCTTTTATCTATTTTAAATCAATTATTTTGAAGTGACAGATGATAATAAGAGAAAGAGAGAGAGTAAAGACAACAACTCAAGACAACAGTGTCATCTGGAAGCCTCAGACTAAACATAAATGTATAATAGTTTTAGGAAAAAGTACTGACCAGAAGGATAATATGAGATGATACATTCAGAATCTTGGTGGTTTGGATAAATCCTTCTGCAGTAACTCTGAAATCTGAACTGTTTTGTATTCTGTATTTGATATCTGGATTGATCTTCTAAAAGCAGTGAATAAAAATCGACATCAGGACTTAATCAAACAAATAGCTTCACTAACTAAATTCTGTTTCTAAGAATTGATTATGTAGGGAGCATCCTAAGTAATATCCTAGATATACTTATCTGACTTTCCTGCAACCTGATTTCCCCAGAAATAAAGAAGTTGATTCTCATAGTCCCCCAGGCAGCATTCACCATCTTGGTTTAGATAACTGCCACCTTTTTGACCATCTGACAACTGAATAACACAACAACAGAATTGGAAAGATCCTTGGAGGTCTTCTAGTCCAATCCCCTCCTCAGACAGGGAACCTTACACCATTTCAGAGAAATTGTTGTCTAATCTCTTCTGGAAAACTTCCAGTATTGGATCATTCACAACTTCTGGAGGCAAGTTGTTCCACTGATTAATTGTTCTAACTGTCAGGAAATTTCTCCTTCGTTCTAGGTGGCTTCTCTCCTTGATTAGTTTCCATCCCTTGCTTCTGCCTTCAGGTGCTCTGGAGCAGGGGTTGCCAATCTTTTGAACCTCAGGGACCGCCAAACTCATAATTTAAAATCCTGCAGACCACTAATATGAATTTTGACTGATGGTGGCTGCAGGAAAGGAGTCTGCAGGAATATTCCCCACCCCATTTTCCTACTGACCAATCATTATTTATTTGGGATTGCAGGATACTGTCACCAGCTCCGTTCTCAGGGGGAGAGAAAGAAAGAGAGACTTTTGGCTTCATGCAAGGAAAGCAGCAGAAGCAGCAGAAGTCTTTCTTTCTCTCCCCCAAACTCCACCAGAAATGAGTCTTTGCCGGTGCAGTCTCTTGGAGCAGAATGCTTTGCAAGGTCCCAAAGACTCATTTCTGGTGGAGTTTGGGGGAGAGAAAGAAAGACTTTTGCTGCTTTCCTTGCGTGCAGCCAAAAGCAGAAGAAGAAATAAATGGAAAGAAGCAGCCCGGTGGCCAGGCGAGGTGCATGGGGCAACTGGGGCAAGTTCTCCCCCTCCTTCCTTTCCCCCCTCCCCTCACTACCTCATGTTGTTCGCAATGCAAGTGACACAAGCCTTGTGTTCCCGCAGGCCGTGTGGATGGTACAGCCTTGTGTTTTCCGCACAGCCTGGATTAATTGCTTTGGGGGTGCTTTGAGGGTGACATTTCTCTGCAGACCATCAAAATTTTCTCACAGACCATCAGTGGTCCCTGGCCCACTGGTTGGCAACCACTGCTCTGGAGAATAGATTGACTCCATCTTTTTTGTGGCAGCCCCTTGAATATTGGAAGATTGCTATCATGTTGCCCCTTTCACAAAAGGGTTTTCCAGTGGAGCTGTGATTAGTAACACTTGCTCCTGGGACCCTACCAATGTAGTGAAGTTTGCTTGAGAAGCTGAGCTGATTAACAATTAGCTCAGTTCCTCCTCCAGAGGACATATTGCTAAAGTTTTGCATTGTGGGAATGTCTGCTTTGTTCTACCCTTTGTCTCCAGAAATTCTTCCTTCTTTCTTGAAAGGGCCTTAGTGCTTTTTCACCAACTCTCTTGAGGTTCATTTAGTGGGACAACATATGGGTTCACCTTGTTCAGTTACCAAGGTTAATTTTCTCTCCCACCCATCATAAAGCAAAAACAGTGAGAAAATAATGAGGCTGACCACTGCTGCCATTTTTTTCTGTGCCCAAGTTTCTGTCCAGGATGTCCTTCTTATCTTTTTCATCTTCTTAAGTGACAAATTCAAAAGTCAGCACAAAACTGCTGCAGAGATAAGAAGATTTGACAGGTACCGGAATAAAAATGCATCATCGGAAGGGATCTGAAAATAGGTACAACACTCTACCCCGATATAGGTTTCTCACATCAATCTCAGACGGAAACTCATAACTGCTATCTTAACAGCCTTTGCTCCCTGTGATATTCAATAGATCTTGAAATAACTAACATCTGGCAAGAAGTCGTCATCTGCTGCAAAGATCTGCAGGGGTTCTGACGATGTGTTGGCTTTCATGATCAATGTCTTGGCAGGCTGGGCCTCAGACACTCGTCCCAGATAAATGGCTTCCTCAAAATAGGGCTGTTTGTCATTTTTCCGTACAACATCAATTTTCACTGTAGTCTGAGAGTATCTGAATGGATTGTTTTCCTGGGAAGCCTGGAGAAAGAGAGAGTGAGAGCACAGATTTTCTTAAGGGCTAAAATGTAAAAATTTAATGGAAGGTAGATGAGGAGGTTCTCTGGAACAAAGATGGGTGAAGGTACCTATCAAAAGGATCCTCCCAAGGATGTGGGAAGGTACAGCAGCAAGGACTGTGAGGAAGGTCTTAAGGATCCCCAATTCAGAGAGCCAGAGGAGCCCACCCACCACATCCCTTACACTCATTATTATTATTAATAATAATAATAATAATAATAATAATAATAATGACAAAAAATCTGGATAGTGGATGTGACAGTGCCTGGGGATAGCAGAATAGAAGAGAAAGAACAGGAGAAGATAACAAAATACAAAGACCTACAAATAGAAATAGAATGACTATGGCAAAGGCAAGCAAGGGTAGTACCAATAGTAATAGATGCCTTGAGTCCAGTCCCAAAACAACTGGAGCACCACTTGAACACCATAGGCATTGACAAATTCGCCATCAGTCAATTGCAGAAGGCAGCTTTACTTGGAACAGCTTCCATCCTGCGGCGATATCTATAACACCATCAAACATCCAGATTTGCCTATCCCAGGTCCTTGGTAAGGACTCAATAGGTAGACAAAAATGCCAAACCCAGTCTGAACATCTGGCTGACTGTGCAATGAATAATAATATTTAATTGGTAATTAGCCCATTATAAAAACCATCAGAGATATCTGGGTAGGTTTTGGCCTTAACTGGATCATCATTAATTTGTTTCATTGTGTGTTATAGCAGGATATGGCAAGAACTCAGACCTGACAAGATCTTCCCAGCAGTTTCAGGCAACAGCAAGTTCCTAATTTTATTTAACTTCGATATAGTTAATAGGTATGACATCTATTTCTCACTGCCTAGATTAGCCTTGCCCAATCAAGTGCCCTCTAGATGTATTGGATTTTAACCGTCTCTGTTCCTAACCGACAAAACCTGTCGCAGCATATTGGGAATTTTGACTTTTCTAATTGTGTCCTCCTGGCAAACAAATATTAAAGAGCCACATTTTATTAATAACATATTAAGGTTGTCAGGAGACTTACCACAATATATAACATGAATGTCTTCAGGGAATTTGCAGGCTGGGTCATCGTTATGTTTCCAGAATCTCTGTTTATTTTGAATGTGTCATTATCATTTCCTAAGCACAATTGGAAAAAGAAAATACTTGGCATGCATGATTACTACGAAAAGAGTAGGATGAAGCTTCCTGATTGTGTCATGCACAAGATTGTGAGATTGTATGTTAGATACCCCTGCTTGTTAGCATTAAATCTAGTGCAGTTCCAAGACAGGCAAAGAATCTGGGTTTTTCACGTTAGAGTTTTATACTCTGTTTGGTAGGCATTTCAGTCTTATCTTTATTGTAAGGTACCCAAAGAACCTAATATTATCGAATGGCCAATTATTTATTCCTTCATTTATTCCTTTTTCTCAAAGCCTGTGCTGGTTAGATAGGATATAGTGTGCTGGTTAGACAGTATATAGTTAGTTTGGGAATGAGAGCTGCCCCCTTAAGGGAATGCTTCATGGGAAATGTAGTTAATGCCTCTTGGGAGATGTAGTTCTTGTCACATGGTCATATCTGTGATCCTGAATTGATCTCTGGTTGGGTTGAAGGAGCTTTAGGGCATTCTTACCTGGTATGGTCATATAGTCATCTTTTCACTTTCTTGTCCCACGCTTCTGGACAGCATGAGACAAGCAGTCCACACTGCAAAGGCTTCCACGCAAACTTCATTTATTGGGTTTTATCAGGTATCCTCAAAGTATAACTCACAGTTATGTTGAGATTCATCTGACGTCCAATCTTTGCCTCAATAGTCACCTCAATAGTGTGAAAAGATGGTTATCTTCATCCCATAGTGTTATAGCAAAGGAAAACTCCAGCACGATGCTGGAGTCCAGGTAAGAATACCAAGAACTCCCTCAGCCCAACCAGAGATCAATTCAGTGACCAATCAGGATTACAGATGTGACCATGTGACATGAGCTACATCTTCCAAGAGGCATTAACTACATTTCCCATGAAGCATTCCTTTAAGGGAGCAGCTCTCATTCCTAAACTAACTGTATACTGTCTAACCAGCACATTATATACTGTCAACCAGCACAAAGCCAGAGATGGTATTCAGTAGGTTCTGACCAGTTCTGGAGAACCGGTAGCAGAAATTTTGAGTAGTTCAGAGAACCAGCAAATACCACCTCTGACTGAAGATTTTACAGTATCCTTCCCCTGCCATGCCCACCAAGCCTCGCCCACAGAACCAGTAGTAAAATTTTATGAATCCCACCACTACACAAAGACTATCTTACTTCTACTGGAACCTGGCTTGGAAAAATATGTGACCATGCAAGGATATATTTTTAATAAGACCAGCATTTTTTCTCTTTGTAAATGATTGGAGCTGCCTTGTTAAAAAGTGATATGACTCAGATGCTATAACATCAATGGTTGCATTTAAGGGCAAGTCACTCTACTGTTACTTTCCCCCAAATGCAGATCTATGATCACCTGTGCCTAAGGTGGACTTGAACTCATCAGTTCCCACATTCTAGCCTGGTGCCTTTATCACTACATCAAACTGGCACCAATTATATATGGACCCTAAAAATAATTACAGAGATTCTGCCTGCCATTTTGTGTCTTTGTATGTTTAAGTCCTGGGAAAATTCACATCATTTTGCTGGTAACAGATAACAGATAATCAGAGTTGGAAGGGACCTTGTAGGTCATCTAGTCCAACCCCCACCCAAGCGGGAGACCCTACACCATTTCTGACAAATGGCAGTCCAATCTCTTCTTGAAAGTCTCAACTGATGACACTCCCACAACTTCCGAGGGCAAGCTGTTCCATTGGTTGATAGTTCTCACTGGCAGAAAGTTTCTCCTTATTTCCAGGTTAAATCTCTCCTGGTTCAGTTTCCATCCATTATTCCTTGTCTGGCCTACAGGAGCTTTAGAAAATAGCTTGACCCCCTCCTCTCTGTGGCAGCCCCTCAAATATTGGAACATTGCTATCATGTCTCCCCTGGTCCTTCTCTTCCCTAGACTAGTCACCCCAATTCCTGTAGCCATTCTTCATATGTTTTAGTCTCCAGTCCTCTAATCATCCTGGTTGCTCTTCTCTGTACTTTTTCTAGAGTCTCAACATCATTTTTATAGTTTGGTGACCAAAACTGGATGCAGTACTCTAGGCTTTATTTGTTTGTACAGTAATAAATGCAAAGTTTCAAACTGAAGAAAAAAAGGAACCAGAATTCTTAAATGATCTAGAATGTCCTAAATCTACCTAAAATCTAGAAGATGAATAAATGCTTCCTTTAGTTGTTGTTTTGAGATATTATGTTGTTGTTTTGATATTAGTTGTTGTTTTGAGATGTTTAGTTGTTGTGTTTGAGATATTATCCAATGTATTAATATTATTTCCAAAGTTTTTGCTGAATTGCTTCTAAGTACAGATTGAAGTAATGTAGAAGATGCTTGAATCGAATGAAACACATCTATCTATAGCTATTTATTTATGTGGTTCACTTCAGAGGTGGTATTCAGCAGGTTCTGACCAGTTCTGGAGAACTGGTAGCAGACATTTTGAGTAGTTCAGAGAACCAGCTAATACTACCTCTGACTGGAGATTTTACAGTATCCTTCCCCTGCCATGCCCACCAAGCCTCACTCACAGAACCGGTAGTAAAAAAATTTGAATCCCACCACTGGTTCACTTCCAGCATCACACTCCCAGCTATAATATAATGTCTTTGATTTGTCTTAGTATATGTGTGACCCTAGTCATTGTAGTTGAAAAACAGGAGTTATTAATAGCATGTTGTGAGAACTCAACCAAGTACAATTTATTCAACAAACCAGGTTAAATATATCATGGATGAAAACATTGTGCAAACTATATGTGTGGTATGTGGAATATTACAGGGTAAGGCAGTGTTGGCAAACCTTTTTGGCACCGAGTGCCAAAACAGGAGCATGCATGGGGCACGGAGCGGCAGAAATTGGAAGAGCAGCTCCCCGGTGCGCATGTGGGAGTGCTGGAAACCAGAAGAGCAAGGGCCCACCATGCGCGAAGACCAGCTGGCCGGCATGCATGTGCATGCCAAAACCCAGAAGAGCAACGGGCGACGGCTGGCGTGCCCAGAGAGATGGCTCTTCATGCCACTTCCGGCACGTGTGTCATAGGTTCGCCATCATGGGGGGTAGGGCAAACCATGGGTCACAGTTGCTCCCTCATTCCATCTGCAGAGAAGGTGCTGCTGAAATTGGGTGCCAAAATGGACTTGTCAGTTTGGGAGTTGGGGGGGGGCAGTTAAGTAAGAATAAGGGTGGGAATGGGGTCTATTTTCAACCTCCAAAGCCCAAATCCTTCCAAAAATATCCTGAAATCACACTAGAATTCAGCCATTTGGTTAATAAAGTTCAATAGCTTGATTTGGAGGCATTTAGAGGAGAGGAATTAAGAGTTTTTATGAAGATAGTCTGACTCCAAGAAGTTGGATTACAAATCTTTCCCTCTTTTATACTTGAGAAACTCCATATATTTATGTAGAATATATATGCAGAAATGTGGCACTATTATTCAATAATTTCTTCATTGTCCCTAAATCTGGATTACACTTGAAAGTATCAAGTTTAGAAAATCACTACTTTATTTTTAAATTAGTTTTGAATTTTAAATTTAGATTAAAAGGGGGCTTTTTAATCTACTCACCAGCAGCAATTTCATATATTATTTTTTCATTCAAACTTTTATCCCCATCAATAGCGTAGAGGGGTCCTGGCTCCAAGATCAGTGGCCCATTCTGCAGAGGCAAGAAGGGTAAGTCATTTCCTGACAGGTCCAATAATTTGTTCATTTTCTTTATTTATTTATCAGATTTAGTACTTGCCCTTCTCTTCATAGACAGGATGCAAGTATATAAAGAGGCAAAGAAGATTAAAAGTCAATGTTAAAAATTAATGAAAAGGCAGAGGGAGAGATTTTAGGAGGCTAACCAGTCCCATGGCTGTGTGTTCCTTTGTGAGCCCCAAGCAAGAGAGCAGAGCCAGGTCTTCAGGCCTTTCTGAAAGGCCAGGAGACGGGGGCCCTGCCTTGCCTTTGGAGGGAGAACGTTACAAAGGGCAGGGGCAGTAGTAGAGAAGGCTCTCTTCCTGGACTCCACCAGTTAAAATTCTGCAGGATACCCTCCCTGCCTGACCAGGTGGGGTGGGGATTTAATGATGCATGAAAGATTTGGTCTCAAACTCAGGTCTATTGAAACCCGTGGAGCAGGGGTGTCAAACTTGATTGCATTGACGGCCGCATCAGGGTTGTGTTTGACCTCGGGGGAGAGGGTGGGTGTGGCCAGCTTGACGTCACTTGTGTCAGGGGCGCCTGTGGCGGCCTGAGCACTCTACCAGTGAAAACGGGCTCCTGAGCTGCCATGGCCTCCTGCAACCTTCTGCCAGTGAAAATAGAGCTTGGGACGGGCATGTGTGGCCCTCCTGAGCTCCATTTTCACTGGCAGAGGATTGCAGGAGGCCATGGCAGCTGAAAACAGAGCTTGGGAGCCCATTTTCACTGGCAGAAGCACCGCAGGCCGGTCCTTTGCTGTTTCCAGGGCGGCCCTGGGGGCCAGATCGAAGTACCTTGCGAGCTGGATCCGGCCCCTGGGCCTTGAGTTTGACACCCCTGCCATAGAGTGATTCATAAAGCAGCCCAATTACATAATTTCACAGTGAGAAAGTGATTGTATTTCTTGACTCTTTAGGAATACATAGCCTTTGAGGACTTTATGTTCAGCCTCTGTTCTTTCATGTCAACTTTCTCCTGCCACCTTCCAGTCATTCACCCCTGCTTTCTGCCTCGTCAAAGGGACACCATCAGAAATGTGCCCTGCCCCGAACCTGCTGGTTTGAATGCTACAACAAATCACAATGCAGTTATGGGCACAACAAGAAAAAAAATCATCTTGGCCTCCTGATGAACTAATCTGGAGAGAAGGTGAACAACAACGACAAAAGTAATCAAGTCTCAAATGATTGAATTATAAATGATGGAAACATTCTGTATTCACAAAGTTTAACTACATCAAATACCCTCTCTTACTAAAAGTAGTACATATCTTTCTGGTTGTTGCCCTCTTTGGACTCTGGGTGCAACCAAACAGGCTGAGTACCTGTGCCCAAGACATGACGGTATTGCTATAACTTGAATCCTTGGAAGTTAAATGAAAAGAGCAACACAAGCCCAAGGAGAAACAAAGCAAAATTAAAGAAGGCAACTTTGGGTAGGGGACCAGTCTAAAGATCTTGTTAACGTACCACTTCTTCTGAAAGATTGACTTTGCTGGTGTAGCCAAGACTGATGCACACTTTGTGGAGGCCTCCAATGGCAGTACATGGCTGAAACCAGGGGGGTTTGAGATCAGACTGGACAATCCATATGGATATTGTGGCTGTGGCTGTGTGTGTCCCTGCCGCATCAGCACTTCCATCCTATGCAACAGAAAAATAAAAGAGAACAAATCAGCTAAAAAGTATCTTGAAGTATTAAACCAATCCCTTTTAGTACATTTGCAAAAGCCAGCAGGCTAGATGCGGATCAAAAAAATGGCATGATTTATACCCCCTATTTTGTAAAAGCCAACACTGAATGATGAAGAGCTTCATATGATCCATGGTGTGGATGCACAATTCTGCAATAACCATCTTTCAAAGGGGAAATGTTTCCTGTTTCAAAACACTTTAGCTAAACTTCTCAGAACTGGCAGATATCATGATTGGCAGTTTCAGCTTCATTTGTGAAAACAAAAGGAAAATTAAGCAAATGATAGAACATATGCAAATATTTTGTTTGCAATAAAACTCACCATGGCCCTTAAAGTAAATCTCATAAAATTAATTGCTTCATAATCCAGGGCTTTACGCAAGTAAATTTGTGGGTTGTTAATTCCTCGTATATTGAAATAGTTCATTGCTTCCTGTCAGTTAACAAGAAAGAGAAATAATGCCAATTTTAATTACAGATATAGGATTTTATATACAAATATAATACATGAAGCATACAATTCTGAGCTAAGTACCGTATTTATCGGCGTATAACACGCACAGGCGTATAACACGCATCTTCAGTTTAAGAGGGAAATTTCAGGAAAAAAAATTAAATTTTCCGAAGCGCCCGTTTCACCCCCACTCCCACCCCGCGCGTGCGCTTCAATCCACAGTGTCCCATTCTGCCTGCCTGCCTGCCTGCCTTAGTTTCTGGTTGTTTGGGAGCAGCTTCGGCTGAGAATAATAACTATTCGCCTCTTTTACTCAGCCGAAGCTGTTCCGATTCAACCATTAACGAAGGCAGGCAGGCAGGCAGAACGGAGCACTGCGGGCGGGCGGGCGGGCGGACGGACGGGGTGGGGGTGGGGGAGAAACGGGCGCTTCAGGGAAGCTGTGGCGACAGGAAAAGCCCCCCCCCCCCGCTTCTTTGAAGCAGTTTCTTCCTGTGCTGGTGGAGGAGCGAGAGAGCGACTGAGAGAGCTGACCCAGAGAGCAGGACAGGCTTCGGTTGCTTCCTCCCTCCCCTTCTTTCATTTGTGTCCTTGATCCCCGATCCCAGCAGCATTCACCGAAGGCTTCTTAACATTATATCGGCGTATAACACGCATACATCATTTGCCCCCTATTTTCAGGGGGAAAAAAGTGCGTGTTATACGCCGATAAATACGGTATATGTTTGTCATCTTATTCCAACCTCATGAAAAGTGAATCACAGAGATTCTGTACTGTTTTATTTCCCTTCTACAGAATAAATATAATTGTCCATATATTGATGGATTTTTAAAATATGTTTATGACATTTCTTCTGCTGAGAGATATTAATTATATTGATTAGCAAAACAATACAGAGCAGGGAATACATTGGAGGGAATAACACTGTCCAATGTAAATTCATTTTACGGTTGGATTTTTCGTAATTTATCAGAGGAAAATAACCTACTCTATTTCCAAAAAACCCCAAACCTTATTTCATGGCTGGATGCTCTTATTGACAACATTCCATGATTTATCTATGATAACCATGATTAACCTTTCTATAGATTAAGCCTGTTTTCAGTTGAGAAATGCTTCTTTTTACTTCCACTTCATGGACTAAAGAAATACGCAGGTGAACGTGTGGTACTGTTCTATCTGATAATGGAATTATTAAACCGTTTGACATGAGACAGTTTTTCAGTACTGATCCCTCACTTCTCCAGTCTAAGCAGAAAAAGAGGCAATCTTCAGAGAAGAGAAAAACAATGTATGTCCAATTTTGGAAGACTACTTGTCACGAAGAAGTTTAGCCTTTGATCTAGTTGAATTTATATTCTACATCTCAAGAGTTCAGTTGAACTATATACTGACTGTTGGACTTCCTTCAAGGCTGTAGGACACTGTATTAAGATCAGCATCAGTAGCAGTTACGTCTGCCAGAGGTACGACAGTTGTGTTCACTTTTGTATCCTGAAAAGGGAAAATGTGTCTTTAGAGGTTTATTGGATTGATCCACAGAAATACACACACACACACACACACACACACACACACACACACACACAGACAGACAGACAGACAGACAGACAGACAGACACCATGTTCTCTAAATACCCAGCAGCTCCAAATCAAAAAATGCAGCCCAGAAAAATAAAAAAGAGCAATGAATTCAGGACAAAATTAGGCCTGATCTTAAATTTCATTAATTGCAATCCACATGAGGTAAATAATACCCAGGAAGTGGTCTGAGCAAAACACTGGGTGGTAAAAAGTCAGTCTTTTTCTATCTCAGGAAAAAAAAATGCTATACTGATTTACATTTTAAGACAATCTCCATTAACACCATGAAACCTGCTCAAGGTTCAACTTGCTGATTGGGACAATAAAATTATTATCAGATCTGCTTTGACTCTGCAAATTCAGCGTCTTAATCAACAGAGAGCCAAAACTCAGTTTCCAAAAAAGCTACGTTCTATCTACTGTTTACTTTTTCCACAGTAGCCTTATTTTAACTTTAACATTATATTACTGATCATGGAGCTGAATGACTGGATGGGTTTTCAAACCCAGTACTGTTCTAAGCCTGCTCAGAAACCAAGATAAAATACTCAGCACTTCAAATAAACAAGTATTAATTATATATAATATAATCCTGTTATAATAGAAATGTTAGCAAAACAGGGACGTTGGGAAGGGCATATGAAAATTTGTTATACATAGAGGAAAATCTGAGCTGTAATTTAATATTGCAATAAACATACTTGGCAAAAAGCATTTTAGAAGATAAGCAGTATGAAGGTCAGTTAGAAATAAATCTTGAAACATTTTTAATGTGTTAAATTATTATGTCCCCTTCAATTAATGGTGGAACTAGTTGCATTTCAGTAAACTGATTTATAATAAAGGAAGGCATTGACCTTGTTCTATATTTTATTTAATTTGGTATAGAATTCTTTTTAAGGACTTTTTAAATTATATCCACTTATCAGATTGCATACTTTGGCAGAAACATTTCTCCAGACTGATTTTGGCCACTCCAGAGTAGATTTGGAGGGTGGAAAAGGAAGGAAGGAAGGAAGGAAGGAAGGAAGGAAGGAAGGAAGGAAG